ATTATTATATATATATATATATATATATATATATATATATATATAAATATTAAAATTTCATATATAACAAACAAATTTTATGAAATAACATTTCATTGGTATAGTTTACATAATTACATTCCACATGTATAGTTTAGTTTATTTAGGTGACTTTAAATTTGTATAAAACATTTTTTTATTTAAATTTATACAAAAATTTACTTTTTCAGTAAATGGTAACGGTAACACAAAAGATGGCAACAATAAATTCACATAATCTCATGATTTAAGCAAAACGTTCAAAATTAAATATTTTCCTAAAAGAGAATTCTAAAGCAATTGAAAAACAATATCAATTCTAAAGCACACAATTGAAGCATTTAAATATTTTTCCAATTTTTTTTTTAGATAAATCTATGAAACACTTAGGCGTTAATATTTTTTTTAGATATATATTATATTGTATATATTTGAGAATTGTATATAATTTTTTATACAATGTAATTGATTATGTGTTAGTAACTGTATATGTGACCATCATAATATGTATTTGTTTTTTTTTTTTTTTTTGTGTATTCCGTTTGTATACAATATTCTATTATTTTCTTATTTTTAATATATATCTAGGAATTTGTATAATGCACAGTAATTTTAATATACGTATTATATTTGTATATGTGCATCTGTAATTTCGTAGTTAAAAAAAAATAATGATTACACTAATTATATAATATTCATTTGTCAATTATATATATGGTAAGCCTGAAATTTGTTTGTATACTTGAGTATGTAATGTTTATCGATACAATATTTTATGTTCATGTTTTTTTTTGTATGTATCGACGAATTTCTATAATACAATATATATATATATATATATATATATATATATATATATATATATATATAGAGAGAGAGAGAGAGAGAGAGAGAGAGAGATATTTTAAGAAAGTTCTTTTATACAAAACTAAAGATTTGTATATAAATACCTATTGTCTCATAAGACTTTGTATAAGTTACCTTAATATAAAATTCACTATATACATAACTTGAGTAATTGGTATACAACTAATAGAATATATAAATAACAATTGTCTCAAAATATTTTGTATATATTACCTTAATATACAACTCATTATATACATAACTTTAGTAATTTGTATATAAATTACACTACCCGATGTTCTTCAAATTTGTCTAGTTTTGATGAAACAAATTCAATCTCCTCTGAAGTAATGTTTATGGATTTTCTCT